TGTTGTTGTTGTTGTTGTTGTTGTTGTTGTTGTTTTTGTTTTTGTTGTTTTTGGATATTTTTTGTGTGTGGCGGAGTAGTATAAGTTGTAGAATTTCCACCACTGCCCTGTTTGATGTCAAACACACGGTTGCCTCCTATCCCTCCAGTGCCGGTAAAGACGGAGGAAGACAAAGCTCGAGAGGCAGCTGAGCAGAAGGCTGCAGTTACTGTGGACTCACTGGGAAGGAAGAAATGGGATAAAGCGTAGGTTGAGGGGCGTACACAGTCACCCACATGTGTTGATGATGACAATGAGGGACAATCCTCGTTGATGTTTCGTACACTATTTTGAAATTTTCTATTGCATACTGGGGAAATTGTGGGCTCGACTGAGGACACCAGACGTATGTTTTAATACTATGAGTGGTAGTCGCTGCAGCAACAACTATTGCTGAGCAGTGCTGAAGTGTGATAGTTTTCGAGTGAGTGTAGAAAAAAACTAGCTGATGTAGGAAGTGATGAATCATGTAGTTTTCGTGAGTGGTACTAACAAGGGCCTGAAGAGTTCTTGGGATAGTGAATTGGTAAAGCGTATAGTATGTATATTACCCCTTGTGCGTCGGCGTGTAGGGCTCAATTTAGGAATCTATCGGAAGTTCCTCATGGACGCTTAATCCATTCGTTTCGTTCATTTGATGCAGTACGCGACATCTAAAACGCGCAATCGTTGTCTTAGTTTTCCTCAACTACTTCGAGTTTGGAGCTGATCGCTTCACCAAATATCTTAGATATTCTTTTTATGCTGAAATCAAAGTCGAACGCTAAGAAAGTTTTTAGTTCTACTTTAAACCCTCGTTGACGTTGGCTTTGGAGTTGGTCACGGCTGAGGTGGATTTTGTCAATAATAGGTTCTTCGCGAAGAAGGCGGATGAGGAGCAGCAGGAAGAGGCTCTTAGATGTAAGTAATCGATCACGTGATCGATTTGGAAAGAATAGGTTGGTTATAATGTTGTGTAGATTTGAAGGGGCTGAAACGGGAGAATGATACGCCTGTAGAGCGAGCACCGTTGAGGCAGCGGACTGAGGTTGTTGATCTGGAAAAAGATATTGGAAAACGGAAACTCATCACGGGTGAGTGGAGGTGGAGTTATTGTCATTTGCTGGGTGCGGGGATCGAACCTGGGTCCTTTCTATTCGGCGGTTGATTATTTGGCGCGTATGTTCAGAGCGCACAGTTAAGAAGCATCAAGGAGGATACTGGTGCGAGGTGTGTGAGTGCTTGTTGAAGGATAGTCAGTCGTAAGTAGAGGGAACTGCGGTAGGAGTGGTGACGGTGGTGGTGATAGGTATCTGGATCATCTCAATGGCCGGGATCACAACAGGAACTTGGGCATGAATATGCGAGTGGAGAAGGTGAGTTGAATTGTTGTGATAGAACGCATGGGGTCGGAATTGGGGGTCTATAGATGACTCGCTGTGAGAGCATCAACTTAGTGACTTGTTGGGGAAAAGTTTGTGAGAGATCAACTGTGATGAGATATAGAGAAATGAAGGATGTGCGTCACTTGCCCGACCGTCCAGGTTTCTTTGGCGAGGCTCTTGTAGTTTTGATGCGGTCCGGTAGCTCTCTCGAACGGTTCACAAGGAATCTAACTTAACGTTGTGAATTTTACTTCTGGTCAATTATGTTGTCTCTGATCGTCGGGGTGAGTGCAACGCGTGTCAATGTCTAGGTTAGTGTTGATCGGGTGAAGGAGAGGCTGGAGGAGATGAAGAGACTGGCTAGGGAGAAGGCGCAGAAAGGTGGGGAATTGATACTTGAAACGCTCTCATAGAGGGCCTGAGGGGACCAGGAATGTCCAGCGTAGTGGTCGTATTGTTGTTGAACTCGAGATTAGATCTCATCGGTGTTCTACATTCTGAGATGGTCGCATTTTGATTGGGTTTTGTTTTGGTCGTCTTCGCGTGTTCGTGAAATGGCGAGTAGTGTATCGGAATTCCACAGTCGATGGTTTTTGTTCAGCAACAAAGGATGACGTCATTGATAGAGAGGCCGTAGAGGAGCGGTTGGAGCACATCAAGAGGGAGGAGGAGAAGGATAAGTAAGGCGCCGAGGTGGGAGTTATCGATAGTGGCATGGTGGTGGGAGTGTAGGCAGCGAAAGAAGGAGAAGAAGAAGCTGAAGAAGCAGAAGAAGCGGGAAGCTCTTTACGGGCCGGGGTATGGTGGGATGAAGGAGGAAGAAGGGGAGCTTGATGCTAATGGGGGCGGCGGAGCGGTGAGCTTCTGCTGCTGCTGCTGCTGATTTTGATGGCCATTATATGATGAATGGTTTTGCTCAGACCAAAGAGAGCTCCCATGATGAGCTGATGCGCATTATGGGGATATCAGGCTTCGGGGGGAGTTGAACGTTATATTCAAACTCACTTCCTTAGGGTGTTGGGTTGCATTTAATCGGGTGTTGAAGGAGGGATGGTATGGGAGTTATTATTAGGCTGGAGTGAAGCTATCCATGGCTTGATTATTTTTGATGCTTTGACGACGTTGATGGGCATCGAGGCTGCCGTGGTTTTGTTTCGGCCAACCATTTGTTTCTGAATGGGCGAATGTTGTTGAGTTTCTTGAGAGTGACGAGCACGGGGGAACCTATAGTACTATCCTAAACGAGAAGGGAGCCGCAGTTAGAGTACGCGGATTTACAATGATTCAAAAAGGACTGTTGCTATTGGAACAAGCATACCTCTTACGTTCACCACCACAAGATGAATACGCCAACGACTTCTCGCATCAGAGACTATGTGGCGAGCGTGAGATTGTTCGATGCATGCCTCGGTGTTGGATTCTGTAGAGGGCGGCAACCCTTAGTGGGACGTAACTGACGAGCTATTGAGCGCGGCGATTGACTGATGGTGGACTCACCATCTTCACCACATATTCGTTATCGATGCCAACAGACAAGACACCCGGATTCCTACTCCTCTGCTCACCTACAGCTTCATCGTTTTCTCGCAGTCTTCTAGTCAAAGACCCCTTCACAGTCTCCCAAGGATTGACAGCGCGGTAAATCTCGCCCGCCATTGTGATCGATTAGTGAATAGCGGAGTGTGCTGCTTGCAGAAGTCTCCTCTGACAGACCCACTTCCTAAAATGGCCAGACGCACTAAGAAGGTTGGTATCTCCGGCAAGTACGGAACCCGTTATGGCGCTTCCCTGCGTAAGCTCGTGAAGAAGTTTGAGGCCCAGTCTAAGGCGAAGTACACTTGCCCCTTCTGCGGCAAGGACTCCGTCAAGCGCCAGGTAATAACCATTCAGCGGTTTTTAATTCTATACCTCCCTTACCTCTTTCATTGTGGCGGCTAGGGCTAGGGTTTTTCAAAGGCATTCGATCTGGCTTTGTTGTCATGTTACTCCCTTTCAGGCCGGTGGTATCTGGTCTTGCCGTTCTTGCAAGAAGACTATGGCTGGCGGCTGCTGGCAGTTGACTACCGCTGCTGCGGCTACTGTTCGGTAATAATCCGACTTGGCTTTTTTCTCATCATCTCAACGTCTGTGTTTTCAGTGCCTCCATGCAGCGTCTCCGTAAGCTTCAAGCCGCTGAGATATAAACGGCAGCTGATGGTTTATAATGGAAGGGTCTCTGGCTAAATTGCTGACTTTCGGTTGCGTTGTATATTGTTGTGTGGGAATAGTGGTTGTTCAATCTTCATTCAGTTGAGGGATATCGACAAGGGGTCATATCAGCGACTTATAACACCATAGAATAGCAAACTTCTTTTATGGCCGCGTTTCGCGTGATTCGCACTTGTGTTCAACTCAACCCTAGGGCAATTGAAGATACATCTTATTCCTCATTGCCTCATGCATTGTTACCCTAAAGACTGCGTATTGTCCTTCAAAGATCGCCATTAACACCTACTAGAGGCCCATGGTTTTCCTGCTCCTCAGGGGTCTTCAAATATGTCTGTAGCAGCGTGTGACTAACCACTCCAATACGAAGGTCCATCTACCAACCAATCGTAGCGCCCCTATGTATTGTGATAGACCGACCCACCTGTCTCATTTCTGCTTTCATCCTCTTGATGGTATCCTTCAGCTTCACCAGGGGTTGTGTGTCGGTCACCGTACTTGATCGTTGTTCCATCTCGTTGCGAGTCTGCACAGTTGCATGTCGGCCTATGTTCCGACGTTCTCACCTGCTCGAGAGAATCGGTGATTGACTTAAGTTCTATTTGCAAGTTCATTATAACGTCATTCAGTTCGTGGTATCTAAAAAGAGTGATGTAGCGTCATGTAGGAGCCGCTCGGACTCCTTGGTCTTCTGCTCGTGAGCGGCAGCCATCTGGCGATAGCTCTCAGTTTTGTTGTCGAAGAGATGACCAATAGCTTCTTCTTTTTCTGTGATTTCTCGGAGGCTTTTGTCGAGCTCGGTAGATATCTTGCCCAGTTGCGTCTTCACCGTCGGGAATTGGCTGTTGAATAAATTATGGTATCTGCCACGGTTATGATATAATCACCATAGAGATGCTAGCAACCTACTGTTGTGTTTGCATGAGGTGAGATCGCCACTCTCTGTCGACCGACGCGGAACCTCCAATTTTGCGTAGCCGATGGCTTACCTTGAGCATGCAAGTAGAAGACGCTTACTATGTGTTGTCATCATCATCACCACTCACTCGCTCACACTCAACTCGCCAGTCCTCGGGTTTCACCTGAGGTGTATAGATGCACCACCACTAGTGGGGAAGAGCTCGCTTACTGTGCTTTTGACGATGTGTTTTTCTTCGGGCAGTAGTCCACCAGGGAAGGAATTCCCACGAGAGGGTTTCGACTGCGCGGCGCCGAAACTAAGGAAACTAAGGGTCGGCAGGGATTGAAAAAAAATGAATACTTTGCAGCATCATCGTCGTGGCCATCAGAAACAACATCTTCGAATTCTTCCTCGAGTTCATCTCCTGCAATAACTTGCCACTGGCAAACGTCCTCCAGCCACTACCACCAGTTTCGAAATCTGCCTGTGATTCGCCTTGGTCGAGAACGGTGAAATCGGGATGGACAAAACGGAAACCTGTTTCCATGAGGACCTTGTTGCACAAGGCATGCAGGACCTGACCGACGCCGCTGGGCATCGTAGTTGTATATGAGTAGCAACTTGCCATAGCAACAGTGTCACCATAACCAGTCTTAAGGCGCTGCGGTGGGAAGTCCGAGGGGAGCCCGGCTTCTTTTAAGGCCACGAGAATGTTAGTGCAAATTGTATGGGGATCGTCATACCTGAATGCTAAGCATCGATCGGGCTTGTCGTGATGGAGAGAAATTACTCATCCCAGCCTGGCCTTTTCCTGAGCAGGGAAAGCAGCCAGGCAACTAGCTTGCTGAAATAGGCGAACTGAAGCGCGGGGTTGCCAACTGGTCCGCAGAGGTAGATCCTGAATTGGCTCTGGCATTACGCGGAGGGCTCGAGCGGCTCACGGATGGACAGGAGGGGTGTCTTTATCGCAGAAGTTGACTTCATAGTCCAACACATTCAACATATCGACGGTTGTGGAAGCCCACGAGTAACATTCGGGTGCCTGAAGACGCTTGCCAGGGTGGTTGTGGGAACTGTGGCACTCACTGGCGGCTGGGCACGAGGAGCCGTCTCTGACATTCCTCCTTGATAGATGAAGACTAAGTAGTAGAGGCAGTTTTAGCAGCTTCTGTGTCTTGGTACTTAACAACGCGACAGAGTTGAAGTGAAATGATACCAAAAAAAGTGCAAATGAAGCCACTAGTACGCTATGGCCAATACTATCATTTCGAGGGGGGGTCGACAGAAAAGAGCATTCGGAAGAGAGCTGCGATAGAGACGACGTACTGACAGAAATGTCACATGGCATATTTGTGGGTCCACTCTCGAGCATGCGAATCATGTTTGGTCTTGTCTGATTTCAGGAGATGGGCGATTTCTGGTACGAAGGGGTCGTCCGGATTCGGGTCGGTGAGGAGCGATGATATCGATAGTAGAACCTGGACGTTAGAGCATCGTCACGGGGATGGATGCAGGCGGAAGCCTACCTTGGAAATGGTCAGAGCTGGGCTCCATTGGTCTTTGAGAATATCCAAGCAAATGGAGCCGTTGGATGATATATTGCAATGATAGATCTTCGTAGTGAAGTGGCACTTGGGGGGCTTGAAGGGGTAGTCACTGGGAAAGGTTATGTTCATGAAGAAGACACCACCGTCATAGGGCGAGTCCTTAGGCCCCATTATAGTTGCTTGCCAGTGGAACATATC